AAACTGATAAAGACAGAGGTTAAGTGATCCCAGGATCACACAGATAGTAAGTGTCTGAGGTCAGATTTTAACTCAAGTCTTCCTGAGTCTAGGTTGAGGGCTATATCCACAGCTCCTCTTAACTGCCTCTAGGGTAAAAAGTATAGGTTCCCTCATTTACCCTTGGGGCAAATGCCCCATTATCCCAAGGTAGTTTCTCTCCCACTCTCTCTCCCTTTTCAATAGCTCAGTACTGCTAAAAAGCAAGACTTGTTATCCTTTCCCATGTCCTTGTTGGGGTCCAGACTCTCTGGAACAAAGCTAAAATTCTTATCTGAAGCTGGGGGTAGTAAATAAGTGTAAAGGAGACACCCAGTGTTTTTTACTTAAATATTTGAGGTTAACTGCTGATAGTGACTTTTTAAAGCTGGGGGATAAGTCTTCAAAGCTAGAAAAGGGGTCATTTGTTGGGAAGAAAGGAAAATGGGTGTAAAGGTTTTACAGAAAACCTATACTGCCATGTTCTTTCTTGCTCTTCAGAACTCTGCCCTTCTGGAGGTGACTCCTTCCCCAGCCCTGGGCCTCTCCCACTACTCTTCACTTCTTCCCTACAGAATATAGCCTCCTTCTCCTAGTGCTCTCTTTGCCTAATGAAAGGTGGACAAGGTAACTTTTCCATGCAGAAGACACAGTCAATTTCACTTCTAGTTCATTTCATTCCCTGCCAAGGTGCTAAAGTTGGGTGGGTGGGGCGTTCCCTTATGGGGCTCCTGTTCAAAGTGATGGAAGAACTTCTTACAGAATCCAGTTCATACACCATCAGCAAATCATCCTTATATAAATAACCAGTGATTAAATCTTATCAGCTTTTTAAAAAGTTTTTTGCAATTCCTGATCTTTTTTTTTTTTGGTGAATAATAAGCCTATTTGATGACCTCTGACAGTTTGGCTATTATAATGTTCCTGATTTCACAGAAAAACAAAGCACCACAAGGCTAAGTGATTTTTAGCTCTTGAGTTTGGAAGTCACTTTCTGGCAGGGAAGGAACCAAATTTGACTTCCAGAGTCAATCAACAAGAGGATGTTTGCATCTTGTACAAGTCAGGTCATTGCTGATGGACCACAAAGGAGAATGAATTTTCCCTTTCCACCCATTGGGGATTACTTTGGTTTTTAACCAGGACCAGAAGCTTGGGTCCAATTCAATAGAGACCCAGGGGTATAATCTGGCACTTACCATCTAGTTGAAGTAACTTAACTTTTTTCAATTTTCTCCTTTATTAAATAGAGATTACTGTGTAACACTTGCTGTACCTATTTCATGGGTTTCTTGACAAGGTCAAATGAGATAATGTAAATAAAGTGGCTTATAAACCTAAAAGTGCTTTGGAAACTTTATTAGAATGGGGACTGCTGTATACCCAAACCCCAGTTATTCTCCCTCTTTTGCTCATTTTTCTTTCCTTCACAACTCTTGCCTTTTATATTAGAGGACTTCAATAGCCAAATTAATGTTCCCTCAAGCTCCTTAACCTTGCAATTTCTTGGCCTTCTGAAATCCCATGATCTGCTCCATCACTCCATTTCAGCCACAGGTAGGAATGATCACACCCTGAGGCCCACCATTAGAAGCTCTGACATCGATCTGTCTGACCCTTACTTCTGCCTCATGGAATCACTCTTCCATCAAGTCTCAGCAAAAGTACCACCTTCTACATGAAGCTTTACTGGTCACCCCAATTGCTAGTACCTTCCCTCCCCAAATCACCTTATATTGAACTAATTTTCATTTATGTGCATCTGTTCTCTTTATATTTGTCTTTTCTTATTAGAACGTCAGCTTCTGGGTACAGATTGTTTCATGGATTGTATTTGTGTGTCCTTTGCCTGGCACATAGTAGGTGCTTAAATGCTTATTGATCTATTAATATAATTATAGAAATATTGGGCATTATTATTATTTGCTATGATTGTTTATGAAATCCCAGTGGTGAGCTTGGCTTGAGTGCAGAGGGAACACATGCAGTTGAGTGACATGATTTCTAACTGTATTCAACCACCGATTTGCTATGTGACTTTGGGAGAGTTATCTAATCTGTCTGTGCCTCAGTTTCTCCATCTGTGCATTAAGGATGATAGTTGCTTTATCTACTTTGCAAATGGGTTAGGATGATGAAATAATATTATGTTAGGAAAAGTACTATAAAAGATAGGGTCATATTAGGAAACACAAGTCATGGCTTCTTCAGAGGCAATTCCCTTAAAGAAAGAAACACCTATTTCAGCTTTTTATGGAGATTTATTATTCTTTGCTTTCTCCCTCCTTTCCCATCTCTTACCCCTCCCCCCCAGTCTATAGAGAATAAATGTAGATGGGTAAGGTGATGTGGTGGGGTAGGACCAGGAGAGGCAGAGGGAGTGTTGTGTACTTAGAAGGCCTGGTTCTTAGGCCTAACCCTACCACTAATCTGATGGGACAAATTACTTAACTTCTCTATACTGGAGCTTCCTAAAGAAACAATATGGTTTAATGAAAAGGGTGTTGGACTTGGAGTCAGAAGAAACCTGGGTTTAAATCCCATCTCTTATATTGATTAGTTGTGTGATCATGGGCAAGTCACTTAAGCACTTTAATGCTCAGTTTCATCATCTATAAAATGGGGATGATGATTCCTTGTATTTTACTTTACAGGGTTGTTGTGAGGAATAAATAAAGTACATAACTTGTTATGTGTTGTTATCTGGAGTCAGAGTGTGTATTCTTGCTCAACCATGTACTTACTTCCTATGTGACCTTAGGCAAGTCACTTCATGTCTTAATTTCCTTTTCTGTAAAATGTAGGGCTGGGATGATGCTTAAGGTTTTTTCCCAGCTCTAAATCTGAGATCTCATGACATCCCAGAAGGCCATTGGAATCAGAACTTGGATTTTTCTCAAGCAGTCAGTAAGCACTTTGCATTTTCTCAGTATAGTGGCCTTGCGGTGTCTAAGAATCAGAGGAGTCTGCCGGGCCTGATGTGAGCTGAGGGGTCAGATTCTAGAAAGGGGACTGTAGATCCTACAAGAGACAAGCAGGCCATGACACTGGGAGTCTGACCCATGTTTCTTCCTCATTTGGTCAATGAGTCAACAGCCATTCCACTCCAACACTAGTGGCCTTCGTGTGGATCCCTGTTGCCCTTGGAATCAAACATAAAAGCTTGGTCTCGTTCTCCAAGGTCTTCGTGAGCAAAATCCTCTGTTTTCATTCTCTTCTGCCCTGCCCCTCAGATTGTCAGTGGAGCCTGTGCCACCTCATCCCTCACCTCTATTCTTCTATTAGCCCTAAGCCTTTGCCCATAGACCTTTATTCTTTCCTGACTTGCCTGCCAGATCTCCATAATTTTCCTCTTTATCTTATACCACACCATTTACTCCAGGCTATCTTCCTCGATCAAGTCTACACCATTCTCTGACTTGCTATCACAATCCCTGACTTGCCTATCTCACCCCTCTCAACATATTTAAAATGACTGAACTGAGAGTATAGGTTTCTGTTCATTAAATCTGTCTGCCTTTCTTGTTTGGATGGCAGAATGATGAAGTGGCTTTGAGGTGAGAAGACTTCCCAAGTCTGCTCCCTTACTATCCATGTGCTTTCAGACAAGTCATCTTGTCCTGGTATAGCATGGTATTGGGGTAGGAACCTCAGCCCATAAGTTCAGATAGTGAGATTGAGAGCACATTGGGATTCCATGCTAACCCCTCATTCATGCCTGGATGCTCTGGACTCCTCCTCCTCCCCTGCGACACTGATATCCTGGAGAACCCTCTGCTCCAAGGCCTTCCTCCCTTGAGAAGTGACTCCTTCCTGGGACTGCCATTTTTGGAAGGAGTTGATGTTTCACCTCCCTCATGCCTGGACCCTCTTAGTATTCCTCCTCACTACTGCACGCTTTCTTCCTCAAACTCTCCTTCCAGATCCCCCTTTTATGTGTGGTTTTCTCTCATCCAGCTCTATGAGGGTAGGGGTTATCTTGCTTATATTTGTGTCCCTAGTGCTTAGCACAACACCTGGCTCATAGTAGAGTTTAATAAATGCTGTCTATCTATCTATCTCTCTACCTCTCTCTCTCTCTCTCTCTCTCTCTCTCTCTCTCTCTCTCTCTCTCTCCCCTTAAAGTTTGATTCTAATAACTGGGGACAATGATGACAAGCCATGGCAAATGTGACAGGTTTGAATGGTGCCATTCTAAACCCACCAGTTAGTCTCTTCAGAAGAAAAGAAAACATTGGGGGTGATGAGAAAGGATTTCAAGTGGACTTAGAGTCAGAGCCTGAGTGTGTGCGTGTGTGTGTGTGTGTGTGTGTGTGTGTATGTGTGTTCATGTCACCTATAAGCTCTCTGTGAACAGGGACAATGTTGGTCCTTTGCTATGCAGACTAAGCCCCCTTTGAGTCACTACTGCTAGGCTAAATGTTCTCATGTGGTTATGGGTAAATCCCTACTACCCTCCATGCTTGAGTTTCTACTTTAAACAGCAGACCAAATCCCAAGAAACATAACTATTAAGGCAAAGCTGGGAGATTCCTGAACAGAGAAAACTTTCCCTAAGGGCCATGGAGCGTGAGGTAGAGGAAAACTCAAGTTTCATTGCAATCATCTGATGTTTCAAATAACCCTTCTCTGATAGGTTACCTCAGGTGCGCTGGAGTGTGGAGAACTGTTTAGAACATGAAAGGCAAATAAGAGGGACCTAAGTTGACATTCCTCCCCACAAGTTGCCCAATTGTGTTTTCACTCTATCTTTGAAGTTCTGGGAACTGATGACTTTTCATTTTCCTTATCGCTCTGTGTGAGGATCAGGTGTGGGGCAGCCTTTGGAGGTGGGGGGGATCTTAATGGCTATTTGCAAAATTGCCTTTCATCTGGGGTGATCTCTGTGACCTCTTAGCTGGAGGTGGGTCCTTTCCCTTCTATAAAAACAGCTAATGGGCTTAGAGTAGAGAAGAAAGTAGTTAGCACTTCCCCAACTGCGGTGTTTGACCAAAGCGGTAAGATGAAATGCCTTCTGGTCCTCCTTGCCATCATCACCTTGTCTGAATGCACGGTCAGGTAAGTCTTGACGCCTCAGAGTATAATGGATCCCCTGGGGCTGGAGAGAAAACTCAGGCAGAACAGAAGAAGCAGCTCAGGGATGGGGGCTTGCCTGATGCCTCTCATTGACAGATGAGGAGTCTACGATAGGAAATTCTGCAGTTTTTTCTTTTAGTCTCAACACCCTAAATCTTAGTATAGTCTCTTAAAATGTATATTTCGGTGGACTGGTGAGACACAAAGAGGAATGAATTCTCTTTCTCACATGCCTTTTGTAAATAAATATCCAATATCCTTATCGGCATGCCCAGGTACCAGATCTGAAGCACAGTTAGATACTTGAAAAAGTACTTGAAAAAGCCTGGTCTTCCTTTGGGTGAGGGGGAAGCAGCGTCTCTGAAAAAGATCAGAAGGTCTTAGGCAATCCAAAGTTCTTTTGTTTTTCAACATTCTTGACACCACATCTCCTTTACATTGAATCCAGTGGCTCTTGAACTATTGGGCTACAGGCAGGGCTTTGAAGCAGTGGCTTTCATCAGAGGTAACTCCACAGATGTTTTAATCAAATCACCCAATCAGATAAAAGGAGGAGGCAATAACATTCTGGGGTGGTTTATAGAGTGCCTTCCAGATTCTGCTTTCATTCTGGTGTGAGTTGGTGTTCATGTTTGTCATTCCATTTCCCAAAAGGATCTTAGCAGAGCCTGGGTCAGCTAATGGAGCTGCCATCCCAATTCCAGATTAGTTCCTGAGTCAAATGGAAACCGGTAGTAGAGGAACCAGGGAATGAAAAAGCTGAGGCTAGGGAGAAAACAACCAGAGGATCAGTAAAGTGACGAAATCCAGGAAAAAGCCTTCTTCATGTCATGTGTCCAGAGAAAGCTCCAACATACTCATGGACAATTGCCAATTTCAAATTGGGCTGCTTCTCCCACCATATTGCATTTCTTTGGGCTCTTTTAGCTTCAGCTATGTTTGGGAGAAAGGGATTTCGAAACAATTCCCTGGCTTTCCATTTATGAAATCACGTGAAGGGCCAGAGAAGAGAACAGAGATGACAATTCTACATAAGTTCCTTTTGAAACATAAATCAAAGAGAAAGAACAAAGAGAAGTAACCAACATTTTATTTGTTTCTTTAAAATTACTATTGATCAGAAATACAGTTTTAATCTTTACAAAGGACTTTTACGTCTAGTACCTCATTTTATTCTCACAATGGCCAAAATGATAGGCAAAACATATCTTTAGATAACGTAGATAACGTAACTTGGAGTATAGTTCAACTGTCCCATTTTACCTGCGAGGTAGGTTTAAACAGGAAGGTTTAAACAGCTTGTCCCTAGCTGTGTGACCCTGGGCAAGTCACTTAACCCCATTGCCTCATCAAAAAAAGAAAAATAAAATAAAAAATAAAAACAAACTACTCTTAAACAGCTTGTCCACGGCCATATAGCTAGGAATAGCACAGCTGGGACTAGAATCTAGGTCTTCTGATTCTCTGTCCAGTGCTTTCCCCATTATACAACTCTATACTGACCCAGGGCCTGGAAGCTTCAGAATTTGGGTTTGGCTGACCTGCTTGGTGAAGGTTGGTCAATTCTAGCAGAGGCACTTGGTTAACTCTCCCTCAATCGCAGAAGGGTGCAGCTGTTCAAAGGGACGAAGCTGAGAACTGTGCTGAAGGAGCGTGGCTTGCTGGGAGACTTTCTGAAGAAGCACCACTATTCCCCTGGCTCCAAGTACCGGCACCATGCTCAAACTGCCAAGGTTGCAGATGAGCCCTTGACAAATTTCCTGGATGTGAGTTGCTTTGCTAATAGTAATAATACTACTCTCATTCTGCCTGTTCCTGGAATTCTATCAAAGATGCTTTTAGTGAATAAACAAGAACACTAGCCAGATTGGTACTTGCTCAGATCTGTTTTCCTTTGAACTTCATCAAAAATGATGAGATGATTGAGGTGATGATGGTAGTAATAGCAGCCATTTATATAACACTTTAAGATTTACAGAGTGTTTTACATACTTTATTTCTTTTGGTTTTCTGGATCTTTTTGCCTGGTAGCTAAGTGCTCTTGAACCTTACACTTGAGTTGTCTTGGCCTCTTCTCCTGGTCCCCTCTCATTCTCCTTTTCTCTACATCTCATGAAATTAAAGAATCCCTTTGGGTCATGGCATCGTCTGGGAAGGATTCCCAAATCTGCATATCCAGCAAAGTCTCTCTTCTGATTGCCAGTCACCCATTATTACTTGCCTGTTGGATGCCCTCATAGGCATCTCAAACTCAACATGCCCCAAACAGAGCTCCCTATCATACGTCCTCCTCCAAACTTCTCTAAGCAACTTAGCCTGGCATTGAAGGCCCTCCAAAATCTCACTCAATGATTTTCTAGATTTTTTTTCATACTATACCACCTCACAAACATTATATTCCAGCCATACTGGACAAGCTAGTCATTCTGTGAATTTAATATTCCATTTTCTGCCTCTGTTTACATGTATAGGCTATTCTTACCTAGAATCCATTCATTCCGTCCTCCTGTCCACATCTCAGACTCCCTGTTTTTCTTCTAGGCTCACTTCAGGTGCTGATTCCTCCTTGAGGCCTTCCTTGATGCTTCCAAAAAAAAGGAACTGTCAAAAAATCCCTTGAAAATCCTTTCTAGGAAGGGACACTTTTGGCAGACATAAACTGGAATTTTTTTTCCTGATTCTTAACCTCATTCCTTCCTGTTGTAGCAATGACCCATTTCTTCCTATTCTGCTCATAGCAGAGGTAGAGAACAGCTGATCCTCCTCCGTCCCATCTATCTAGAACATGGCCCTATCTTCCCCTTATTTCACTCACCACTGTGGAACCTTCCTCAGTGCTTCTGTCCCTATCCTCAGCCGGTTTCCCTAATGTTCTTGCTTTCCACCATCCGTCCTTCCATTTTTGTGTCTAGGTCAGCCCTTTCTAACCTTTAACTTTGGCACAGAGAGAGTTCTCTAGCAGGCAGGCTTAGGCGCAGATAACATGAGTTGTGTGAAAACTGCTATGCTTGGACCCTAGAGCATCACTAGGCCACCTAGGAGAGGCAGAACCCTGAGATACTCACAATGCCATTCTCTCTTTTCTCTTCATCTCTAATTCTCAGGTTCAAGTCAAGACAGAAAATTTGGCAGACATGAAATCCAAGCTAACCTCTCACTCCATCCCTTTCTCTGACTATATACCACCCTAGTGTCACCATCCCAACCTGTGATATTCTTGTGTCTATAGACTCAGTACTTTGGGAAGATTCACATTGGGACTCCACCCCAGGAGTTCACTGTGGTGTTCGATACTGGTTCTTCTAATCTTTGGGTCCCCTCAGTCTACTGCAACAGCGCTGCTTGCCGTAAGTAACCTAATTCACCTAGGGCTTAGGCTGACTATATGGGCCAGGAGTCTAGAGTGGAGACTGGGACTATCCCTAGACAAAACAGACATGGATGAATTTTATCTTCTTGAGAATCTCCAGTCTAGCTTATCTACGCTACTTGACTATGTTATTGGGAGGGTGTGTGTGGCTGGATTGGGGAACTGGATATTGAATGGAGTAGGAAAGAATGAGTTCCTTTACTTGATTCTCTGTGGACTAGTAGAGAGAGGAGAGGAAGAAAGAACTAATTTGTAGTAGCCAATAAGTTTTTAGTTCTTGTTTTCAAGGGTCAGTGAGATTAACACAGTGCCTGGCATTTAGCAGGTACTTAGCAAATGCTTGTGGGCTGACTGACTGATACAGTAATAGGAAGTAGAAAAGTTTTGCACAGCCTCCCCCTTGAACTCGAGGTTGTATTTTTTCAGAAAACCACCACAAATTCTCCCCCTCTAAGTCTTCCACCTTCCGAAGCACCGAGGAACTTTTGTCCATCCAGTATGGTACTGGCAGCATGGAAGGAGTCCTGGGCTATGACACTGTCATTGTGAGTATGGCCTGAACAGAGTATTTCCCATCCCTTTATGACAGGGCTGACCAAGCACCATCTTCCAGGAAGCATGGAGCACTTTTGTTTGGGGTCTGGTCCTGCCCACCCAGAAGGCTGGTGGAGGCGGGGAGTTGGATTCAGAGTGAGGCTTCCTTGACTGATTCTCCAAGTCTCTCTGCAGAACTGTAACCCACGCAGAGCTCTGTGGGGTGTTCCTTTCCCAATAAAACCTCCATTCTCACTGAGCTGCGCAGCATTTAGAGCTGCTCAGCATCACTGCCAGAGATTTCTCTGGGGCCCCATATCTATCTGCCCTAAATCCTTTCATCTCGTCCTTCCTTGTTATGGTTTTCCCACCTACTGTTCCTATTTCACTGAATCAGAATCACAGAATTTCATATTTGGAAGAGACCTCTGCAACCATCTGGTCTAAGTTCTGCCCCAAAAGAAATCTTTTTCTATAGCCTATCTGACAGGCCCCCCTCAGCCTTTGCCTAAATGCCTCTAGGGAGGTGGGAGAGGGTGAGAAGCCCCACAGGCCCACTTTGGGCGAGTTCTGATTAATCGTAAGTTTTGCTTAACTTGAACCTAAATTTGCTTCTTTGCAGCTTCCCTCAGGGAAATGGAAAAACAAGGGTGGGGAACCTGTGGTCTCAAGGCCATGTATGGCCTGCTCTAGTCCCTCTTTCCACTTGATAGCCTTTCAGATACTTGAGGACTGCTATCATGTGCTCCTTAAGCCTTTTCTTCTTCAGACTAAACATCTCCAGTTTCTTCAACCAATTCTCCTACGTCATGGACTGGAGGCCCTTCACCATCTTGGTTATCCTCTTCTGCATACAGTTCCCTTTTTGCCTACAGTCTTTTCTATTTCAATTTCCCATCTTTTCTGGGAAGTAAAACATTCTCGCATAAATGCAGTCCCAGGATTTCTTACTTGTGCCAAAAGTTCTTCTTCCAGACTCTTCTGTTGCTAGGCTTCTCATTGGGATTATTTCTAGTCATGTCACCTTTAGGGCAGATCTACTGTCATTGTAATCCAATACCCTGGCCTTCGGGGAGCTTGGGTTTTCACTAGTCAAATGGGGACATAATAGGTGAGTTCCATTTTCACCCTTTCTTGGCTGTTCTTTTCCTGTCTCCAGTCTGGTTTATGCATTTTCAGTCTTTGCAACTCCCTTATGATGCTATGAGTGCGAGCAAATAGAGTTGAGAGCAGACAGTCTTTTAGAATCAAAGAGGGAGATGGGAAAACCCTTTTTTTTCTCAGGCAGATAGATGTCTCAAGCTTTCCAGGAGAGGAAGCAGTCCTTTTCTTTTTGTCCTCCTGGAATGGGTTATCCAAGAGCAGAACTAGGAGCATGGCTAGAAATTTTAGAGAAGCAGATTTTACCTCGATGAATGGAAACATTTCTTGGGGGTTTTTTTTGTTTGTTTTTGGTAAGGCAGTTGGGGTTAGGTGACTTGCCCGGAGTCACACAGCTAGTGAGTGTTATGTGTCTGAGGTCGGATTTGAACTCAGGTCCTCTTGACTCCAGGGCTGGTGCTCCATCCACTGCCCCATCTAGCTGCCCTTTTTTTTTTTGTTTTTTTTTTAAACATTTCTTAACGACTACAACTATCCCAATGCAGAGCTGGCTGCAGAAGGAGGTTGCAGCTTACTTCGTTTTAGAGATTTTCAAGTGAAGGCTGGGTGATCACCCACTAACATTGGTGATGACATTTTTTTTTTTGCTTTTTGGTGAGGCGATCGGGGTTAAGTGACTTGCCCAGGGTCACACAGCTAGTGAGTGTTATGTGCCTGAGGCCAGATTTGAACTCAGGTCCTCCTGACTCCAAGGCCAGAGCTCTGTCCCCTGCACCACCTAGCTGCCCCTGGTGATGGCATTTTGACCAAACATGGGTTGGAGTAGAAAGCCTTTGGGATTCTACCCAGCAAAGGAGCCTTTCTTCAGACACCCAAGCTAATATGTCACCTTGAACTCAAAGAGTTCCTTCTTGTGTCCGGCTGAATGGCTATCTGCCCACATCCAGTTTAATTTGAACCCCACAAAAACTCCTCATTTTTTGACATTACCAGCCTGATCTTTTGGCTTTGACTGGGTGGAGATATTCATACACCTGACCTCATGGGAATCCCATGTAGGCAGAGCATAAGCAAAGGGAGTCCAGGGTGAGTGACCAGGAAGCTGAGACCTAGAGCTAGTTTCTGAAGCATCCAGGGCCATGCCGGTCTGCATAGCATCCGCTCCTAAATGACTTTGAAATGCTAATTTCCTCTTTCCGAGTGTCCTACTTCCTTTGCAGTCTGGAGCAATTTGCCTTTTTTCTTTGCTATTTTAGGTGCAGGATAAAAAAACAACCCTGTGCCTGTTGTCATATTCAATTACAGCAGCTGCAGCTCCTCCTTTATCACGCATCCACCCACCTGGGAAGGCTGGGGAGAGACACCCTAGGTGTTGTGTCTCCTCCTCGAAAGTCTCATTTGGCCAGAGGAAGCTGAGACTGGCAGGGATGAAGGAGGGTGGAGGAGGGAGGAAGGAGGAGGGGGAGGGGGAACACCAGCTTGGGTTAGCAACATGATCCAGCCCTGTCAGGTGGTACCAATTCCAGGACAACATTGCCCTTCCCTGCCTCCTTCATCCCTTCCTCCGGCTAGGCACCTCTCTCTCTCTCTCTCTCTCTCTCTCTCTCTCTCTCTCTCTCTCTCTTTTTCCTAAGAACACCAGGACTTGCCTTCAGCAAACAACACTTGTTGTCCTCCTTCTCCTCTCCTCCACTCTCATTTTACCCTTTCCCTGTTCTCCAAGTCTATCAAGTTCCTTCAAAAAGTCAACACAGAAGGCATTAGAAAGGAGAATTTTCCTTAAACGGGCCCACTGCTGGCTCATGAGTCTATTTGGCCCCTATCTGGGCAAGTCTCCAGGATTCTAGGTAATTAGTTAGAGTTCAGGAACATCAGGCCACTGTTCCACTCTCTTCACTGCTGTGAAAGTGCCCACGTGTTCTATTGGCCTCCACAGTGGTCCTAGGAAAGTTAAAAATTTTGATACAAGCTCAGCTCCCTCTGCCCTCACTGGGGCTAACTGCAGGCCAGGGACCTCTCCCAGGGTGATGGTTTGCAGTTGCTAACTGGATGTGGGACAGACACAGAGTGATTGACTTCTATCCCCATCTAGGTCTCCGATGTTGTAGACCATGACCAGATCTTTGGCCTGAGCATCCAAGAGCCTGGTGACATCTTTACCTATTCTGAATTTGATGGGATCCTAGGACTGGGTTACCCCTCCCTGTCTGTGGATGAGGCCACCCCTGTATTTGACAACATGATGAAAAAGCACTTGGTTGCCCATGACCTCTTCTCTGTTTATCTGAGCAGGTAAGTAAGTGACACTTTCAGATGGGGTTAGATGTAGTTGATTTGCTGTGAATCCTTAACCAGGATTTTAGGGGGTCCCTCTTCATTGTCATTTTTGGCCCCCTTCTTCCATTCCCTTTGAGAACACCTAGCAATCTGGGGACAGTTGCCATATAGTTATAAGACCATACATGAAAAGTACAAACCATTGTGGAAGAAATATGTCAGACTTTTGATATTCAGTGATCAATTTTCATTTCTAGAAGTCAAAAATGTTTCCACCACCCTCACCCCGGTGTCCTTAACACTGTACTTATAAAATATATACATCTAAATAGCCATACATCTAAAATATAAGTGCCATACTTATAAAAAGGTATTCATTAAACATTTGTTGTTGGCGATGAAAATACTGTTCATGATGAAGAAAATTAACAGGGTATAGGGATAGACCAGGACCCGCTATTCCAACAAGAATGTCAGGAACAAGGTTACAGATAAAAGAGAATAGTGGGAGGAACTGGAAAAATACAACATCAAAGGAACTTGGGAATTTTTGAGCATTCCCTAAAAAATGCAGCCCTTAGAGTTAGATTCCCTTCTTCCCTGTATACTGGGAAGTCTCCCATACACACAAAATTAAACTTCAGGAATGTATAATATGCAACAGTATAATTGGAATTCATGTGGTAGCCAGGGTGCAGAGAAAGAAAAGCAGAAACAGAAATGATTTGATGTAGGTTGGAAGAGCCACAGTGGGCAGCCAAAAAGAAATACATTCTCGACCAAAAAGACCCAAGATAAGGGAACAAGCCTCCCCACTGGAGGGATTTTTTCCTGGAAAAGGGCATAGGGAAGAGAGCCTTGCTGGAGGGGTGTGATTGACTGCAGGGGTGTGCTGGAACCAGCTCTGATTAACTTCAGAGAGTTGGTTGTAAAATGTTCAGTGTGGGCATTTACACGTTGGAAATCAGCAAATGCTACAAATCAGAGCTCGACCGATTGTTTTGTTGATTGTTCAGACTTGCGAACGTGTTGGGAAAATGTTAAAAATGCAGATAAAATTTAAAAGTGTGTGCCTTTTTTTCTCCTTTTACAGACTGGGTTTTTAGATATTTATGAGCACACTCCTGGGTGTGAGATAGATTCCAGGAGAATTTAGAGCTTCCATATTGGTATTCAAGGGCATATTGGAGGGTACAGCTTTAATCTGAAACTGAGATATCATGCCTGGAGCCCAGCGAATAGAACTGGGTGTCCCCAAGGGTTGGGGATGAAGAATGAGGCAGGTAGCCTGAGGAAAGCAACTTCAAATCTTAAATGTTACGTGCAATTAATCTCTCTGTGTGGGTCAGGAGGACGTGTGTGCCAATAAACTACCCACACATACGTACTTGTACTCTTCCGTGTCCTTACACTCTAGTAAAATAGCTTTGGATGACAAAGACGAAGGCCAACCACTGAGGAAGGGTACTAGAAGTATTAATGGCTGACAGTCTCCACAGTCACAGCATCATAGATTTAGAGCTGCACGGAAACCTTAGAGATCATCAGATCCAATTCCCTCATTGCATAGGTGAGGACACAGAGGCTAGAACTGCAGTGACTTGCCCGGGGTTCCACAGTTAGTGTCTGAAGCAGGATTTGAAAACACACCTTCCTGACTTCAAGCGCTCTCTGCATTGCACCACGTGGCTTCTCAGAGGAACAGAAACCCCATTTCCTTGAGTGACGGCCGCAGAATGGGAGGCTGGAGAACTGGCGTGGTATGATCATAGGCCGCCAGAAGCTGGGGTCCTACAGATGTATTTTTCTTTGAGCTAAGGAGCTGCTCAGATCAGTGAGATCTTCTGTCATTTCAGGGATAACCAGAAGAGCATGCTCATCCTTGGGGCCATAGACCCATCCTACTACACCGGCTCCCTCCACTGGGTCCCTGTCACTGAGCAGGGCTACTGGCAGTTCTCTGTGGACAGGTAAGGGAGAGATCTGAGGCTCCCACTCAGAGACGAGGCTCAAAATAAAGCCGGGATCTTGTGATGCAAGGCCCCATCGAATCAATCAACAAATATCCTGTGCTAAGGAAACAAGGACTTCCTACCCTCGAGGGGTTCACATTCTATCAGGAGACATGTACATAAGGATATACAGAATAGATAGAAAATGATTACAAGGTAGGCTAGGCAGGGAGAACACTAGCAGAGAAACTCTGTGAAAGGTGATGTTCAAGCTGAGTCTTGAAACAAATGAGGGTTCTAAGGTAAAGGTGAGAAAAGAGTACACGGGGACCAGGCAGTGCAAAAGCAGAGGGCCGTATGTGAGGAGCAGCAAGAAAGCTGGGCCGTAGTGTGTAGAAGGAAGCTCAAAGTCCTAGGATGTTGAAGTTTATAGGAACATGTACTGGACAAGAAAGCCAGGGGATCTGATTCCAGCCCTGCGCTAACCAGTTGTGTGATCTCAGTTCCATCATCTGTAAAATGGGACTGATAGTTAGCCGTAGACAGTTGTTGTGACATTCAAGTGAAATCATATATGTGAAAACCCTTTACATGGCAAAGTCCCATAAAAATATTGTATATTGTATAATTATTATACAATAATTATACAATTATATTGTATAATAGCTATCATACCAAAAGAGAGCCATTATTATAGGCCTTTCCTATTAGCATTAAATTACATTTAATTGGTTGTGAGGATAAAATGAGATAATGTTTGTAAAGTGCCTTGCCAACCTTAAAGTGCTGTAAAATTGTTAGCTCTTATTATTAGGGGTTTTTTTTTCAAGGCAACATTATATTTGAATAAGATATTTTTATTTTTATTGTGATTTTACCTATTATTCATTGCCAACAGCAAAAAAGAACCCCCTTTCCCCAATTTTTAAGTTTGGTTGCAATTGTAAGACACCACTAGTTACATAAAATTCCCCCTGCCCCTACTTTCTTCATTCATTTGTTTCATAACTTTGCCCAGAGCAGTGACTTTTCTCTATGTTATTCTTCGTAACTATAACTCCTCACATTACCATACATTATGGAAAGTGATCCTCCCAACAATTCTGTGAAATAGATAGGGCAGGAATTGTCATTCTCATTTTACAGATGAAGAAACTGAGGCTTGCAGAGGTGAAGGGACTTGTCCAATCTGGTACTCTTTGATCCCATAGAACTCTTCTGTCTCAAAGTACAGTCTTTATGGCCCATCTGCAGAGAGGACATTGGTATATATACATTCATCAATGTGAATTAAAAGTAATTTGAGAGTTTTTCAAACACTTCAAGATATCACCAAATTAGAATTCGATAATTTCTGGTCCAGAGTAGCATATGCTTTGCTTCCATCTGTATTTTACTAATGCATCATGATTATAGGTAACTTTGCATTTAAGAGCTTCGTGGTTTTTTCATCTTTTGATAAATATTTATGAGTGCCTGTGATGTGCTCAACACTGTACAAGTTATTACAGAAAATACAAAAAGTTGGTAGATGTGATCTTTGTCTTTAAGGAGTTTATAAGGAACAAGACCCACAGGTCAGACAAAACCTATAGCTAAAAAAAAGAAACCCCTAATAATAAGAGCTAACAATTTTACAGCACTTTAAGGTTGGCAAGGCACTTTACGAACGTTATCTCATTTTATCCTCACAACCACACTAAGAGGCAGGTGCTATTATTATTTCCACTTTACAAATGGGAAAACTGAGTCAGACAGAGGTTAAGTGAGTTGCCTAGGATCTCATAGATGGTAAGTGTCCAAGGTAGGATTTGAACTGAGGTCTTCTGAGTCTTGTGTTCTATCCACTGCACCACCTAGCTGCAGCTATAAAGGCTAGTATAGGATAATACATAATCCAGTGTTAAGAGTATGTGGTATCTATACCTCCTGCTTCCAAAGGAGTTGTGGTGGTGACTGCAGGTTCATCTTTGAGACTGGCCCATAGACCGTAATCAACCTGCTGGAGGCCAGCCCCAACTTGAAATGTGTTGCTATCCCAAGGAAGGAAAGTCTGTAAAGGAAGTTGGCTTTCTTTCCTTGGTTTCTTCTCTGAGGTCTCAGCTCTACATTTGGGCACTGTTTTAAAAACCAACAAATACTCTTTGATCTTGATAGAAGAAGCAGATAAGATTCAAAGTTGAACTGAGCAACTTGTCTGACTTCTCCTAGAATCACTGTCAACGGCCAGGCGGTGGCTTGTGCTGATGGTTGTCAGGCCATCTTGGACACTGGCACCTCTATGTTGGTGGGTCCGAGTTCTGACATCCTCAACATCCAGAATGTCATCGGAGCCACTGAGGATCAATATGGATTGGTGAGTTTCTCAGCTCAGCCTTCAGAGATTCTTCTGATATCTCCACTAGCTCCTTACTGTCTGGAGAAGAGTCACTTCTCAATTATCTACACTCCCCAAAGAAATTTAGTCAGTGTAGGAAACAAGAAGAATAGAAGAGGGGATTTATTGGTAGTAATAGTATCCATCTTCTGGGCTCCGAAGTCAGTCAGTCAGTCAGTCAAAGAGCATTTATTAAGCACTGTCTGTGCTAAGCACTAGGGATACAAAGAAAGGCAAAAATGTCCCTCCCCTCACAAGCTCACCATCTAATGGGGGAGAAAACAGGCAAAAACTGTGTATATACAAGATATATACAGGCTAAGTGGAAGTTATCTCAGCATTATCCTCTGTTCTGTAATAGAAATTTAAATGCTTAGACCCCAAGCAAACTTGTGCCAAGACCCTATCTTCCTCCTTCCATCCCACAGGCCATGCTTTCTCAAGTCCCACCCCCCCTCCTCCAGCCCTCAAGCCTTATGGGGAATTTGTCGGCATTAAAAATACCCAAGATTCTGTGTCCCCCAATCAGGAAAGCACTTCCAAGATCCCTCCCACAAGTCCACCGCTTGCTCTAGCTGCTGTCATGATCGGCTTCCAAAGGCCAAAGTAAAGCCTTTGTCCTGAGCTAGCATTTCTAGCTGGGTTTGCCCCTTAGATTGTGTCTCTTGTCTAGAAGTTGGGCCATTGCCTGGGAGTGGCAGAACGATCTTTATGATTCTAACAGGTCACAGCCTCACCTCCAGACCAGTGGGAAACCCTTCACAGGCTTTCTTGGCCCCAGATGTTTTTCCAGGCTTTCCTTCCCACCCCAGACTCCCCTTTTCTTCTGCTCTGGTGGGAGGGCTGCACGTCTTACCTCTGTCCCTGAAAATCCTTCTGGGCTTTTTTTTTTTTTCAGTTTGACATCAATTGCAGCAGCCTGAGCTCCATGCCTACAGTTGAGATTCATATCAATGGCAGGAAGTTCCCTCTCCCTCCCTTAGCCTACACCAGTCAGGTAGGAACCTTGTGGGGAGAAATTTCTTGGGGAAGGGTTGGAACTCTGGGAGATTGGTCACAAGGAGGTGGCTTAGACACATGCTGTTCAAGCGGGATTTGTTGAGCCACCTGAATGGATACGATGTTTCTTGCCTTTGTGGTATGGAATAGCAGAACCTGCATTGGATTTGGAAATCTGAAGTCTGGGGTCTAGTCCTGACTCTGCTACTTCCTGGTTGTGTGGTTTGGACGAGTCATTTATGCCCCCTGAGCTTTAGCTACCTCATCTGTAAAATGGGATGATAGTGACACTCTCTACTTGATGGTTTTGTCGTGGGGAAACTGCTTTGTAAACCTTAGAGCATTGTAGAAAGGTGAATTGTCATATCACTACTCTAAAAGCAGCCCAGGCTTGGCAACCACGTGGAAGGATTTAGGAAGCCTTAGGTCTTGTTCTTGAGGCGGCCACTTGGAGAGGCAGGATTTGAACTCAAAATCTAAACTTCCGCCCATTGCTTAGCTTTTCCCTCTGGCCCCTTCCACTTTTGCCTAGATTTCCCTTTGAAAATGTGTGGTAGGCTCTGATCCCATTCCCTCATTGTGCCATCAGACTCAAGGCAAAATGTTATATTTAACACTGGCACGACCCAGTAGCCAACATACTTGGACCTGCCAGGCTCTCCTCCACTGGTCAACTGGTCAAGCTAGCCTGGATCAGAGCTAAGAATGAGCAGACCAGACAAGAGAGGGTTGAGTAGGACCAGACAGACGATTCATATGACCTTCTATTTGGATAGCCCTCCAGAGTTTACAAACAGCTCTCACCTAGAGTATGTCATTTTATCTTTACAAAAATTCTCTAAGGTTGCTGTTAGTATTCCCATTTTAAAGACAAGAAAATGGAGAATCAGAGGAAGTGACTTACACAAAGTTGCACACGTAGTGGCAAATCCAGGCCTTACAACCACCCCAGGCATAAGGCCTTCCATTTTTACGCCATGACATCACTAATGATATTAAATGATTTAATAAGTCAGTTATCTGGGAGCCTGGATGCCTGGTACTAGTCCAAGCTCTGCTTTCATCAATGTTACTGTTTCTGGGTTTCATCTTAAAGAGGAGGGTAATGCCCTACTTGGCTCAGAGTTATCACTGTGGTGATGGATATGAAGGATTAGGGTGGTAGGGGAAGAATGTCTCATGACTGTGCAAGGCCTTACTTATTGTTGGAATGAGGCAGGGACCACCTCCACCGAGTGCTCTGTTTTGGTCTTCCCTAGGAGGAAGGACAGTGTACCAGTGGCTTCCAGAGTGATGGCAGTTCCCTGCTGTGGATCCTGGGAGATGTCTTCATCCGACAATATTACAGCGTCTTTGACAGGGCCAACAACCGTGTGGGGTTGGCCACCGCGGTCTGATGGAGACATTGAATTCAGCCAGCCTCACTCAACTTTACCCCGTTGATTAGACCGTATCTCAGAGAGAAAACTTGGTGCCCCCAGAGAAAGTCCTTAATAAAGTAACCCTTATGCAGCAGAACCTCACTTTCTGACCTTTTCTGTGGCCTCTATAACCTGCACATTTTCAAGGGTGGGCAGTAGAAGATCATGGGTGTGTCTAGCTCAGCCGCTGGGCTGCTTTGGTCCTTTGCAGGGGGACAGGAGAAGACCGAGGGGCCTAGTTGGTGGGTGACAACCTTCATTTAGAAAAGGATCAGTGTCAAAGCCAGGTTCCTTTGCCTTGTTGCTTCAGCACAATTTCTTCTCATCCTCAGATTTTCCCGTTGCCAGAGATGCGCCATGGAATTTGTGGCACCGGTTGAGGCTGGGAGTGTCATGGGATCAGAGGAACAGGACTAGAGAAAATGAAGTTAGATGATTAAGAAAAGGGCCAGAAAGATGGGATTTTTCAGTGAGATTACTTAAAATGAGTATGTGCCTCCAAGGTTCAGACCTGGAGGAGAAACTTTATGAAGAACACAGTCCTGTATCATGAGTCAAGAAGAATTTAATGAGAGAAGATCTGTTGCTGGTAGTGGGGGTGAGATCTTGATGGAACGGAACCATTGAGGGGTAGGTGAAAGCCTTCCTTGCCTTGGCAAGAAGACTTCTGGGTCTTACTCAGCTGTCTTTGGAGGAACTTTTGAGCAGGATACCAGGCCCGGGGCAAATGAAAATCCATCTAAGTCTCTATTCCACAGGAGTTAGGAAACAGATCTTGGCCTTTGACTAAAATGGCAGAGGCAACAGACAGCATCAGGAGGGTGGAGGGGGCAAGTGGTAAAGTGAAAACTCACAGCCTCATCTGAGGTTGTGTATGCCTTGGGACCGCCACCCCCCTTGCCTGGATCTCCTAGGGATACATGACATCCTCAGGGGGCAGAGAACCAGGAAAGGGGCCTAGAGCTACAGTATCATCTTTAAGCCAGCCCCCCAAACCTTTTTCTCTTTACAGAAGGGGCGGGAGATGGGGCAACAGATGTGTCTTCTTCTCTTGGTCCAGTTTATGCCACCCTTGCTGTCAACTTACCTGTCTCAGCGATGGTAAAGAGTGGGTGCTGCTCCTGACCTCACATACCCTCTTGCTATGGTCATGACTTGGACCTACCTGTTCTTCTCCCCATTTAGAAATCTCCTTTTTTGCTCAGGGTGCCCTCAGTGGAGAATGACACAGGAGGAGAGGTTGCTGGTGCTTTTGTTGACATGACGAGGCCAGGGTTCCAAGTAAACCTCAGAAGAGAAGAATCTTGGGCCGTGAATTCATGCTCTTGATTCTCTTCTCTCCCCTCCTGGGCATCTCTGCCTTGCCTGAGTCTCCTTGGGCTTTGATTGGTTCTGATTGGAACCTCTGCCCTATGCCAAGTTCCTCTGTCCCACTGTTTCCTCTGGCTCCAAATAGTGATATAGCTACATCCCACCTCACTGGCTAGATAATACCTACTGAAAATTTCAAGAGTACAGGGGCTACAAGGGTATATAGAGTGGTTGACTCAAGTGGGGTCCCCACCCCTAGACCCTCTAAGCCTGCCCAGCCGTAGCACATCTCACCCTTCAGACGTCGCTGATTCTGCAGGATGCTCCTCAGAAGGGAGTGTTTGAGCATCTAAACTCCATATCCTTAAAAATGGTGTTGACCTCTCTGTGTCTGGGGAAGAGGGAAGACCCCCACCAGTTATCCAGTGAAACCTAGCTTCATATTCATCCCTGATTACCTTTGGAGTTGTCAGGATAAGAACTCATAAGGGTCTAGCACAAAATGAGCTAAAATCCACAGGTTCAAAAGGAAATCAGGCATTGAGGCTGAAGAGAACGTGCAAAGAGTACTGATCCCGGAGTCAGAAGACCTGGGTTTATAGCCGAGCTGTGAGGCTTATTACCTACATGGGGCCAGTCATTTTATTTCTCTAGGTCTCAGTTTCTTCAACTGTAAAATCAGAAAGTTGGACTAGAAGACTATTAAGGTGCCTTCTATTTCTAGCTCTATGATCTAGGTCACACTGTTTTCAGTATCATTGAAGACCTATCAAGGATCAGAATTCTTCTGGCATGGGCTGGGGCAAGGGGCCTGAACCTTGCCATGTATTTGGGAGCAATAGTTTCCTTTTCTTGGCTTCTACTGTCTATTGCATCATAGGTTTGACTTCTGCAATGAGTGTTTCTTTTACTCTTGTCGCTGTTTGTAAAGTAACACCCATTCTAAGATGGCATTTCATAGATAGTCACAGATACGGGAGAGAGTAAAGAACATAGGGATCCTGCCCTACTCTCTTCATTTGAGGTTAAGTTCCATAGGTCCCATAATTAATGCTGGGGTGACATCTTGAACACAGCACTGATCCTAAGTCCAGTGATCTTTTCATTGCGGCCTACTGCCTCTCATAAATGAAGGAATACATAAGATAGCTAACACTTATATAGAGCTTTAAGCTTTGTGAAATGTCTTAGATAGGTGGAATCTGGTAGAAATATGAGTTCATGTCTCATTTCTGACACACGGAGGCTGTGTGACCCTAGGTAAATCATTTAAACTTCCAATGTCCTGCTGGGCAACCAGAAGTTTGTAGGTTATTTTTGTTTTTGTTTTGGTGTCAACTGGGCCATTGCTGCTCCACATCTTATTAGCATCCAGCCAAAAATCTGTGCTACCCAGGTTCAGACTAGAAATTGTTGAACAGTGTAGATCTACATTGGTAAAGGGGGTTTCCTCACTGGATCTTTGGAATTACAGGTCTGGCCACACAAACACCTACTCTTTGCCAGGCACTGTACAATGACAAAAAGTAAAGTGGTCTTTGCCCTCAAGAAGCTTACAGTCCAGCATGGGTAAACAATATGTACATATGCACATATACAAAATAGATACAAGGTAATTTGGGGGGCACTTGAACTTGGAGGAATCGGGAAAAGTTTCTTGTAGAAGGTGTGGCATTTGAACCTAGCCTTGAAGAAAATTTAGTATCCTAAGAAATGGAGGTGGAGAAGGAAGAGCATTCCAGGAATGTGGGCTAGCCTACGAAAAGGCAGAGAAACAGAAATTAGAGGGCCACGCGTGAGGAAGAGTAAGGCGGCCAATTTGGTTGGAGCAGAGTGTGAATGAAGGGGAGTAATGTGAAACAGGGGCAGTGAGGATGATCGGGGCTAGCTTGTGAAGAGCTTTAAATGTCAAAAAGATAAGTTTATATGAGATCCTAGAGGTAAAGAGTTGTTACCTAGCCCAATCTGTGCTTTAGGAAAACCACTCTGGCAGCTGTAGGGGGATGGGTGGAAGTAAGGCAAGACTTGAGGCAGGGAGACTAATTAGGATGTTATTGTGGTGGTCCAAGAGGGTGATCAGGGCCTGAACTAGGGTGGTAGGTGTGTGGGAAGAGAGGGGGAGACAGATGAGAGAGATGTTATGAGGTAGCATTAAGATACGGCAATTTTTTGGACATGTGGAAGGAACAAGCATGAGAAGTCAATATTAATGACATTGAGGTCTTGAACCTAAGAGACCAGAAGGACAGTGGTATCCTTAAATAGAAAGAAGTCTGTGTCTTTACCTTCACCTGCCTCCCCAAGAGTCCTCCCCACTGTCAACCTCTCCCTAAGCCTGGGCATTCTATCTTCCCCCTTTAAACTTGGTGTAAGATGTCATATATTCCCCCTTTCAGAGAAGAGTCCAGAGACTATATCTCCCTACTTAGGATCATAGATCTTAGAGCTGGAAGATACCTGGAAGCTAACTAGTCTAACCCCTTATTTTACAGATAGGGAGCTGAGGTCATGAGAAATGAGGCTAAGGTTGCCCAGCTAGTAAGCATTAGAGGCAAGATTTGGACTCAAGTCCTATGACCCCAGAACAGGTCAAGGGCTTGGGAAATGATTCACTGTGGTTTTTGGGATGGAGGAGATGGCTAGGTCAAAGGGGTGTCACTTACCATTATTAAAACACAGATGGGACTCACAAAGATCCATTTTGAGTCCTTGATGGGGTTGATCCAACAGCTAGAGAGAAGCAAAAGAAAGCAAAGGAGTCTGGGCAGACCATCTATCTTTTAAACCTCTAAGCCTCCAGGCTGAGTGAACCCGTTCTGAACATTTAAACATCAGAGGTCAAGAGCCCCAGCATAACTATAGAAAAGGGAAAGGGAGGAAAATGGTGCCTGGGGTCAATGCTGAAACCACTTCGGGGAAAAAAAGAAACATGATGCCAAAGCTCACAAGGCCAATGATGGTTTGAAAACGGCAGCCTGAGAGCCTTGGGCAATTTGGAATCTGGAAGGGGAAGATTTGGGAAAGGAAAGATCTTGGCTAGACATGAAAACACTGGGTGGTTTTAGGTGGGGAGGGATAGGTAGGAGAAGGAATAGAATGTCACTTTTCAATTTTCATCTCTGTGGGTTGGAAAACATGCCTTTCTAGCCATTTTCTGACTAGCTTAATTTGGCTAATCATGAACTAAATATCCCATTTCCCAATCAGATGGGTTTAGCTTGTTTTACTAGCTTTATTTACTTTACTTACTAACTAGCTTTACAGCTAGTTTCATGGGATGAGTCCTATTTAGTTTTATGGTCTACGAGGTATTACAGATTATAGGGTCTTGCCCAATGCCAGCTTAGAATCTGCTCAGGTACAAGGTGTCAGCCTTCTCAGTTATCCATCCTCAATTACGGTACCTGGGGAAGCCATAAATCCTGTAGAGATTGAGGAAATGTGGATTGAGTGTAGAGATAGGTTGGAAAAGCATGGTTAGGTGTAGAGAGAAATAGGGGGGAATGTCCTAAGATTCCAAAGAGAGGTAAGCCCCAGGAAGGTGGGCTTAGGCAGAGACAACAATATGCTGGGTTTGAGTATTCCTTCCTTTCTTCCTTCCTTCCTTCCTTTTCTCTCCTTCTTCCCCACTCCTCTCTCACCCTCCCCCCAAGACTGGAAGTACAGCACCCTCTCACCGGCTTGATCCCATGCCCCATTTTCTGACCTAGGCTAGTGCAGCCTGGTGGCTCCCCATTTCCAGAGACTCTTC